CACTCTTGAGCAGGCATGCAGTTTCCTCAACCATGACGAATGTCAAAACCAAAAGAAAACTCCAGTGGAGGCCATAAAACACGTTTATGCTATGAATTTAACTCACTAACCTCTAAATACTTGAAAGAATGTGGCTTAAGAGATACAAGAAGGCCTTCAATATAATCCCCCCCAACAACTTTAATCCTACCATCTCTGCAGTCAAAGTTATTAAGGAAACATCAGCACAAAACAAGTGTTTGTTCTATACCAGAACAATGGAAGGTATATACTCCTAGCATCTATAGTTATCATTGTGCATTCAAATGCGGCCATGAGGTCCACAACCCCAACATTCATCTATCAAAATACAATATCAGCAAATTTGCTATCATTTTTCCTACTCAGTCATATACATATTGCTTTCAGAATTATATCAGAGTACATTATTTGCTAGAAATTAAAGACAAAAATCAGGCCAACCAAATTAGTGCAGGTCAGTTTAGATGACCCCGCTCCCACTCACATGGTGCAGGATTGCAAGATACTGAGAGTGGCAATTTTGAAATGCACCTCATGAAAAATTGATAATGCATCCGGTGTTGGTTGTTGGTCATGCATAAGATATAAACTATACAGAGTACACACACAGAAATATATATATATATATATATATATATATATATATATATATATATATATATATTAAAAGAGGACGTTTATCAGAGAGAACAAAGGAGAGATTTACTTAGGTCCCAACACGTTGGCACCTAGTATCCTTGAAAGTAGAAATACAAAAGCTAAAAACAAAGGATTTATAAAGGTAGGTGTCAATCTTGTTTACCAAACACCAGGTCTGGACCATTTTGTTTATTGATGACATAACTCTTTCCTTTGTCAACTTTTCATTTGAGTGAATATTATATATATCTGTGAGTTGCACTCATTTGATGAGACAGATCGTTAGAAGGAAATGGACTCAATTGAATGGACAATTAGGCCACATTACTAAAGTACAGAACCATTGTTGCTTATTCATGTGTTATTAAGCTCCCTATGGGCTATGTACATCTAGGTGCTTGTACCAATACTAATGTGTTGGATTAAACTGCATACTCACGATGTCCCAATAGATAAGAGCTGTTGAATAGGGTCAAAAGCCATAATAGATGCAGTGGCTGGAATCCCATAGTGAACAGCAATCCCTGCTGGTAGCTTTGGAGTTTCCTGTGGCTCACTCCGCTGCAGAATGAGATACGAAACAGCAAAAGCAGAAATTAGATCAAATATAAAACTGTTCCAAAAACGCATTAAAAACCAATTGAAGAAAAATCTTCAATAACGGGCACAAAGAAATTAATTTCCTATCAATTAAGAATATGACTTTTGTCCATTGTTGACGGTGCTAAAAGAGTCTTATAATGTTTTATCTTCAGGTAAATAATGGACTAGATCAAAATGACAAATGCAGCAATGCAAAGAGGGTCTGATCGAAATCGCCTCATGTTGCCTACATCTTGACCATGAGGTTATGTTGTGATAAGAATAATTGTAACAACATGATGTTGGAACTCATGAAAACTTTATTTAAAAAAACATTGAGTCGCTCAGTTGCTGCATGTATACTACTAAATAATTTCTTAATCTGCTATTTTGTTGCCTTTAGCTGTTCTAACTAGCTTGCATTCTATATGTTCCATTAAAAGTACTTGATATCTCGTTTCTCAACATAAAACTGTCCATAAGATATCCAATATATTTTTTAAAAAGTTTGTCAAACAACAATAAATGAGCTCAATTTAGTGAAACCCACAAACAAATATATGACGATTTCTACAAAGTCAACTCAACTAAAAATAAAAGGCTCCACTCTTGTGAAATACTGCTATTTTCTGAGCTGAAGGAAAACCATTTCCTTTTTCTTTTCTTTCAAATTCCTTGAACCAAACATAGTGTTAATCTTTGAGACGGGAAAAATGGGAGAAAATGAGATGAAAATCTTGCACTATCATCCACGAATAATAAAAAACGAAACCAACCAAAACTAAAACACCAATTGCAGAAAAGATTCGATAAATTCACCTGTGGAGAAGAGAATTTTTGCAATAATTTAGTGAGCATGTTGGTGTCACGTTAGACGAAGAGCTCCCCTGATATTTTCTTCGAACTGGAAAAGTCGCGTCGCCTTGTTAAGAGAGCTGCGCCTCGAAGCGAAGCAAAAACATGGCATTCCAAGGATCTTGCATTTGGTTGAATTCGTTCACAGTTCTCCGATCTATCAAAATACCAGTGATAGAAACGAATTGGTTGCCGATGATCCCACTGCGTTCGTTCAACTGTTTCCACCTTTTTTTTGAGAAGTTTTTTTTATTCTTAGGTAATGCACAAAAATGGACTGATGGAGTACACTCTTTAATTTTAAAGTAGGATGATTGATGTTTCTAACCTTAACCAATAGATTACTTCATTTAAAAAACAATATGGAGTAATCTTAATTGTACACCACATTTGCACATTATTTTATACATTCATACTTTAGACTAAGATAATACTCCCTCCGTCTTATAATGATCTTCCCAGTTCGCAAAACGAAAAAAAATCCCAAATTTTTTCAATCTATTTTATTTAAATATTGGTACAGAAATAAAAAATAAAACATACATATTTAAAAACTACACCAAAAGTTCAACAAAACAAGTGGTGACAAGAATATTTTATTTTATCATATAGGCCATGAAAAAACATAAATAAATATAAATTCCCGTGAAGTTGGAATAGTGCTCTGGGAAGATCATTATAGGACGGAGGGAGTATATAAATGTAATATTAGCATAATATTACTCGCATTTCAGTCTCCTACAATTGGTGCACAAATATGTTGTGCAAGTAGCAATGTAACATAACCCAAAACATATACTATCATAAATCCTTTTTAATTTGGAAGATTATCAATTCTTTAATTTTTAGGATGTAGGCAATAGATTATTAACTACGAAGTACTCTGTATAATACGGAGTATTTCAATTGAGGGAACATTCTTTCAACGTTAGAAACTAATGTAACATTAAGCATTTACAATGTCTTGTTTGTAAAATTGATAGTTCATGTATTGCTCTTATGTTTTTTCTTTGGATCCTCGATTGTCAATAGGACAACCGGGGGGGTGTGGGAAGGGGAGGAGGATGGGGGAAAGAGGAATATTAAGAGTTTAGAAATTAGACACCATAATTTCTTAAAAGGACACAGTAGATACTTGTGATCATATTATGACACTAACGTTCATTATCAAAAGAATTCAGGCCGGTCAGGGAGAGGTGCAATGTTTACAGTTCATTTTAAACATGACCTAAAAGAATCGTTGTCTTAAAATCTGAATGCGCCAGCCTTTCGACTGGTTACTCAATGGCCCTTTGCCTTAAACGCTCCAACGAAATCTTACTCAGAACAAATCAAAATCAATAAAAACTACTCCATAATTTTTTGGGGGATTAGATACTATTTTTAGTAGAGAAATTGATAGTTCAATTGTCTAAAAGACTCAACTTTATACTCCGCTTTTAAAAGATTTTGACGGTTTGACTTTTTTGGTCAAACTATGGTACCCTTAACCATGAATTAAATATAATTTAACATGGTTTAATATTTAAAAATTTTGATATTTCAAAACTTGATTTTAAATAAGTCTAATATGTACTAAATTTACATTATAACAAAATATACTTTTTTCATAATTCACGATGAAATATGTCACAGTTTGTTAAATCAAATTATATCAATCTTTTAAAGATGGAAGAAGTACTTCATATACTCCCTTTGTCCTCAACTAATTGTTTTAGTCTTGCATCATTAAGAAAGTTAATCATATGAATTTTACAGAGTACTTCATTAGAAACGTGATATCTTTCTTTTTACACATATTTATTACGCCTTTTATCGTAGCACTTTCGATATATTTTTATTTGCCCCTTGTGTTTTGTTGAATGTACCTTTATTAATTATGCTTTGTGTTGCTTAAGTAATGAGTTTTTTTGGTAACAACCTCTCTACTTTTAGTGAGGGCAAGGTCTACGTACATATACCTCCCCAAACTTGTTGGAAAAGCAAGAACACAAATGAATGTATAGTGCCCAAGATCAACACATTTCCCTCTTAAATGAATCTGTTAGGAGCAACAAACAAACACACCAAAAAACACCAAGCAACAAGATAATCCAAACACGAAAAATAAAAGGACAAAAAGCACACGATTTTTACGTGGAAAATCTTTTCAATGTGAAAGAGTAAAAACTCATGAGACCCCTCGGTCCAGCCAACTCCACAATCACCAAATTGAGAGTACAAATGCACAATACAACAGCACCACAATGATATCTAGCCTCTAACAATACTACGAAGGCACTAAAATCAAAATAGAGGACAAAAGTGCAAAAAATCACCAAAAAACTGTAGTTGGTGCGAAGATCATAATTTGAAATTGAACCGTTGGAATTCAATCTCCACCATTCAGATTGAAGCTCATTGAGTCCTTAACTCTTAAAATGCCAGCTCGATCGGACAAGATTTGGACCTCTGATCGACCAGAAAACCAGACCTGCGATTTGAAGAAGAAAGCAGCAGCAACTCTCACTCTTGCGGCTGTTTTTTTTTGTGCGTGAAATACTACCGTGTACTCCTTGGACAAGGCTACTAATTTAGCCTCAAAAGTGGACAAAAAAATGGGCTTAAGTTTAGCACTCTAAATGGGTTTTTAAAACACATAGTTGGGAGTCCAAACCCAACAAAACCTTGCCGTTGTAAGACTCTACTAGGTTGTTGTACTTCATTAGGAAAGTAAAGAAATTATGGCAATTATTTTAAAAAAACTAAAAAAAAGTGGAAAACATTTAATTTGGAAATACATATCGAGTATATGATGATATGATACTATCCCAACAATTTGAGTGCCGCGTTAGAACTTTTTACTAGAGAACTAAGTTTCTAGTTTTAGCTAGAAAGTTATCAATCCCACAAGGACTACCTCCCCCATTGAAAAAAACTTATTGCAAGAATAAAACACAAAAAGGATGGAAACTGAATGTAAACCCATTTCGAAATTAAAACCAGTCGAATTCCATCATTTTCAAACCAATCAAATTACTCGAAAAAAATGTTCATTACCTAAAATAAACTTAGTTACACATCTCTGATCAGTCCTGCCAATTAGTGTCAACCTATTCCTAATACATTATTATAAGTTATTTCTCCTTATGTACAGTCAAAGTAGAACATAAATAATACTCCGTACAAGTTGCATAATCACACACAATGTTTCATTGAGGTCAAGGATCGGCACACCTATTGATCTCTGCAAGTGCAGTGGCATTCGTTCTTGGAAATAACAAGTGTAGGAAAGGAACAGACGAGGTCATTCTGAGGGCCTTCATTTTCTCCTCAGCTCTTCGAAGTTCATATACAGATGGCACTCCATTCCACTGGAGATACCAAGAGAGATGTGTGGAAGCCTGGCTGTCATCACATGGCCATCTTCCAAACTTGATATAATCCAGGAGATTCTTTTGTATATTGGGTGATGAAGAACTGAGAATTTCCTCCACCCTCTTCTTGACTGTACCCAGGAAAGTCGTGTGCATAATGCCACCACTTGAACTGGTTAATATTTTAGCCAGCAAGGATTCACCATAGGCAAGTGCAAGCTTTTGAGAGGGGAGAAGGGGGTAGTTAATATAATAAATAACAATAAGTTGCCAAATACAATATGTGAGAAGATGTATGCGCTAAAGAATACCTTAAGACTTAGGAGGGAAACTGAATCACCAGAATTACATGCACCACCAGTGCCTTGTTCTGCCATTGACTCAATTGTGGAGTATATGGACAAGTATATCTGTGCAGTTCATATTCCAGTAATTATATCAATTAAAAACAACACACTGATGTGTCATTAAAATGATAGGGGAAATGAAACACGGGGATGATTTTGGTATACTTCCTCCATTCTTAACTAAATGTAACAGAGGGGTTTACACTTTTTTACTCACATTGATTATTTTTTGTGATTGTGCTTTATACATTTTGAAAAAATAGGCTTTATCAACAGTAAATATATTTATGAAATGTTTCCCTATCAAGGAAACATTCAGTTGCATAGGAAAGGGGCTGGAATGTTTCCAAGACATTTCTGAAGTTGATATGTCTCATTATTTACAAAAACAGCCCACACCATTTTCTAGACGTTTCTTTCTGCAAAGTGAAAACTCTAACTGCTAAGAACTTATGTACATCAAAGGTTACCTGTAGAAGAGTTGGCCTGTCCTTGCTCACACATTCAAAGAGCACTTGCAAGCAAAACTCGTGGAATGCAATTCCATACCTAAAAGCATGATTAAAAGGATATTAGAACAGTCAAAGATTAGAATTGTTAAAGTGTATCCCACATCGGAAGTTCAAGAGTAAAATAATCGGTATATAAGCTCTTGAATTGAACTAACTAATCGATTGGATTCAATCTTTTAATGTGGTTCAGCCCAAGTGTCTTATTGCCCAATCCAATTATCTCTGCCCAATCCTAAATTCTATGATGGTATCGGAGCAGGTTTTGGCCCACATCGTTTGTTAAGGTGTCTGTCTAGACGTTCATTCCTAATGGCCCGTTAATCTTTAGCCCAGTTGTTCGTATGGAGTATGTACCCAACGGCCTTGGCCCGTTTAACACGATAGCTCGTTTGGAAGTCCATACGCAGCGGCTCAGGATCCTTTAGGTGTTGGCACTGAAAAAAAGTCAAAGGAATAGGAGTTCAATTGCAAGTGGTCAACCGCTTAATTCAAAATGGCCTGGTTGTCCACTTGAGGGGGAGTGTTGAAGTGCACCCCACATCAGAAGTTCAAGAATAAAATAATCGGTATATAAGCTCTTGAATTGAACTAACTAATCGATTGGATTCAATCTTTTAATGTGGTTCAACCCAAGTATCTTATTGCCCAATCCAATGATCTCTACCCAATCCTAAATTAGTAAATTCTATCAAGAATTTCTGAATTCCATTTATTTGTCTTTCTTCATTCTTGAGAATCTTCATTGAAAAAGTAAATATATTTCGCATACCTGCTATTCCATGAAGGATTGCAACATAGTTGGGCAAAGGCAGTTAAGCTTGGATCAGAGGAGAATGTACTAACCAACTGATCTAATGTGATATCCGCTATAGACTTGGAACATCCAAAAGCTCTCAAGTGTGTCAGACCAAACACCTAAACCAACAAGAATCAATTTGATCAAAATAATTTACTCACTGTATATCAAAGATAAACAGAAAATGAAATGAAACACCAACTTTATGCATTGCTCTTGATAGCAGTGATTGGCATCCTACAGGATCATCTGCATATGAACAAGCTCCTACTTTTCTCTTCACATAAAGTACACCAGAATTGAAGGGGTGATTCTTGTCCCCCAAAGTCCACCATGGCTTTTCTGAACACAAGAGTCGCAGATGTTAATGTTGATGCATGTGCCTGAATATATACACATTGGAAAAAGAATCCAGGAAAATAGCTTTACATTTTGCATCTTGTTTAGATTCAGTAAAGATTATGCCTTGATGTTGATGTTTGTGTCTGTGTGTCTACAGTCCACACACACACACAGAGGAGGCTAATGTTACACCCATTTTCCGACATTCATTGCATCATTCAGTTGGATTGTTTTCATGTTAAACCCGCCGTAAGATTGAAAGGCATTAACAACACTTACATCATCCTTACAAAATTTCAAAAGAATCAAACAGTCTCATAATTCATATAATAAAAACGAAATCAACATTATGAATGATTCCAAAATGTGTAAAAATATACTGTAAGTTGTATAATTTTGTATGAAACATAGTTCAGGCATTGACTAAGTGCTTAGGCCTTAGGCACTCTGCCAATGATGCCTTGCCCAAAACCCTTAATGCAATGAGGCGCTCGCCTAATCGTTGCCTTGCGCTTCAACGCCCAGACCCTTAAGGCCCTTTTTTATTTTGTGAAAAGCCCAAATTTAATAAAACTCACTTACCCTTGCCTAATTGCCCAGACCCTTTAGGTCCGTATAATCGTTTAAGCTATATAGTGCGCTGGTCATATTGCTCGATCTTCTGTGCGGCCAACTTGGTGCATCCATCTTCCCTTGCTGATCTTCCTTGCGTCAATTTTCCCTCCAGATGGATTTGTTGGTCGCTCTCGCTGCTTCTTTCATGTGTCCTATTTTATATTTTATTTATTTATTATTTATTATTTGTATGTGCAATGATTAGCCCATTTTTTATTATTAGTCTGTTTAGCACCTGTATGCTTTACATCTCCCGGGTAATTTCTTTTATTTTGGTACATGATGTTCTTTAAACAATTAAACCTGACTATTTTAAAGGCATAAATCTGTTTTTTTGTTTCATTTAATCAGATTTTTTCAACTATTCTCTAGGTGATATGGAAGTCCATTGGCGCCTCGCCTTGTTGCAAAAAAAACCTTGGTATGAAACGATATTGAATTATTGTGAAACGTTGCCAAATCTGTGTTAGTATTTTAGTATCTTTCAACTATATGGTGATTTTCAAATTAAAACAATTCAAATGAACGATACAACAAGAGTAAAATTGAGTGTCAAGGAAATGGGTGTAACGAAGTCCCCTACATACTTCAAATACATCTTCCCATGCGCACATTAAGGGAACGAAGAGAACAGGAGAGGGATAAAGTGAAAAGCTAATATTCTCAACACAAGAAAAAAACGGGGGGGAAATTGAGCCCTTCATCACTCAAAAAAAGGACAGATTAGATTAATTTCTTTATTAAAAAAGTGTAGCATTATAGTGTTTTTAATGTATTGCAATTCTCCTATATTATGTGTTGCCTAATTGTCACTTAGTCGGTCACCTAGTCGACTAGGCATCCTGGCGGTACCCCAGCGACGTGCCTCAACTTGGTGCCGTGATAACTATGCTTTAATATCAATTGCTCATGAAACAAAGTTCATCCTATTAGTCTGATATACTCCCTCCGTCCCACATCTTTCTTCTCACTTTCTTTATCGGGCCATCCCATTTGAGTCTTCTCATTCCTAAAATGGAATTAAAATATACCAAACCTTACCAATTTACCCTTTCTTTTTCTCTCTCCTCCAATCCCCTTCTTTCTTTCTTCCTCTTTCTTCCTTTGTCAAACCCCCCCACCCCACCCCCCACTTCTCCTCATCCTTCTTCTTCTTCTTCTTCTTCTTCTTCCCCAACTCCAGATTCAATCACTGTGCATTGAGTGGTTCACCATCTTCATCAGATATATACACTCAAAACGAGAAATTTCAATTTGGACGGGGGGAGCACATAACAACGTAATTATGTGCACCCATTACAGACACGCATACTTTATTTCAGCCGAGTAAATAAGGCTGCACTCTTCAAGTAAAGAAGTGCACTCTTTGTATACAATGATTCAAGTTTCCTCACTAAGCGATGCACTTTGACCTTTGACATATTTACAACTGGGCCATTGTTTTCATTCAAAGTTGTCCATATTTAAAGTTATGGCGGCATCCTTAAAAAGTGATCCTGTCCCTTTGTTTTAGATGAATGACCAGGATTTGTTCTCAATTTTCCTAAAATGAACTTTTTAGTTTTTATTTCAACTATACACACACACACCCGCACACACACCCACACACACACACATGTATGTATCATGCGAGAGATAAATCTACGGACCTTCTGGAATGAGCTCAATGACTTGAGGCCAATAACGAGGACCACAGACACGAACAGCCTTCAACTGCATTAGCATTGGACTAGCCCATGTGAGCCATTTATATCACGATTTCAATAGAAAGTAACTAAAAGGGAAATAAACTTCAGAAATGAGAAATATTGTGTGTTAATACAGCAAACTCAACCACCTAGAACTTACAATGGCACGCTCTGGAAGAATGCATGGGGAGATCTCACAAAAACTTGTTCCTGCATAGTAATTAGTTTCCCGGATGGTAACTTCAAGTGGTACATAGACAGGCAATGCAGTGTCGACATCAACTGTCTGAATACAACGAGCTTCTGTCGCCAAAACATAAAAATGTCGGAATGCCTGCAATGATGCTAGACTTAGCTTATAAACCCAACATGATGAATAAATATACAATTGAAATGAAAGAGACTGTTAAA